GAATAGGGCACACTAGCAGCAGGTGGGGAATGAGGACAAATACTCGCCACCGATGACATGCCCTGGTCATCGATTGAGTGGGATCTCAGTGGCTGAATGATTTACGAGCGCATGCTTTGTAACCAGGAGAGGTCCTGAGTTCGAAACCTGATGGGTGCGTATTGCCAACGAGTCGCTAATGAGAACTCCCTGGTGGTTTTTAATGCTTTCCCAACTGATATCGATCCGTTTGTTACACACACACACACACAGATGCATACACAACTGTCTTGTTGGATATTTGTTTTTTTTTCTGGACAGATTGATTATTGAATGATTACTGCCAGGTGCGATTTACTTTTCTAGATCGTTTTGTTTGGCTAATCAGAACATCAATCAATTTATATTTTTTATTTTTATTTTTTGATTACAGCTTGATTCCACACTGTATTTTTGGTACAAGTATGGAATTTTCACCATGTGATATCGGTAGCCCAAATTCTGCAGGCCGACCATAGATATCAGGTGTGCGTCGGCAGGGGATCGAACCTCGGACCATGTGCATGGTCGGCGAGAGTCCTAACCACTGTGCCACCAAAACGTGGAAACACCATACTTTTTATTATTATAATTATTTTGTTTATTCCTTTGCTTTTCAGTGAAATAGAGGCCTTCAAACCTCTTGAGCTTTGAAGTTTCAGTAGTAGTGCTGGTTTCTTTTTGGTGGCTGAGATTTTGTAGGGATTTTTTGTTTGATTGCATGGAGGATTTCATCATGAGCTGACATCAGTTAGAGAATCACTGAAAAACCTGTCAGGGTGTATTGAACAGCTGTTTCGTCAGCCTAGTTTGGGACTCTTCATGTTTACGCTCAATGTTCTACGATCTCGCCTTGTAACCAGAAGGTCCTGGGTTCGAGCCCCTGTAATGGTGGGTTCGTACTGCTGAAGAGTCATAAACTAGGCTAACGAAACAGCTGTTCAGTACTCCCTGCTTGATGGTTTTCCAATGGTTCTCTAACTGATGTCAGCTCACGATGAAATCCTGTAACTAACTCAATCTTACTTTAGTTGCTGTGTTAACTGTCCTTGTTTGGAATCCTGAATAGTAAATAACATGATGATTATAATAAGCATTAAGCATAAAAAGGAGTGGTAGAGAAGTCACACACACACACACATAGAGAGAGAGAGAGAAAAAAGTCCCTACACTTATTGATTTATATTTGCTTATTTTAAAAAAATTTTCCTATGATCTTAAAATGGGACATGAATGGCGCAGTTTCCTCCCGTACATTCATATATATATATATATGCTTTCATGACAGAATATTGTCGATTATTTCAAAAGTAGATTAAGCCATCATATGCATACCTGTTTGCCTGTTTTTATTATTATCATTATTATTATTAATAGTAGTATTAATATTATTTCTATTGTAATCAATTATATTTACTTTTCATGGATCGACGGATATCATTAATAAATAAGTTAGTTAGTTAGTCAGTTAGTTAGTTAGTTAGTGAAATGAATGTCTACTTTGTTGATGTATAAATTCATGTATACGAACGAAAGACCACGTCCGTATCCAAATACGTGCGTGCGTACGTACGCGCACGCGAGCACGCCTGCGTATGCGTGCGTGAATGAGTTCGAGTAGGCGGACTTATACCACATAAATACTCACGCACACACACACACATACACGCAGAAAGTAGGACAGGTAGAAAGGATGATGATGGGCATGTTTGCCGTTTTTTTGTTACTTTTGTTGGTTGTCCATCTTTCTATTGGGGGGGAGGGGGGCCGGGATGAAACTGTATATATGTGACTGAAGCTCAGTTGAATCGAGTTGATAATGATTTAAAGAGTGAGTGAGAGACAGAGAGTGGGAGGGGAGAGAGACACAGAGGAGGAGGAGGGAGTCAGTGGAATTCCACATAAAATCAAATGGATCAATATGTTTTCTGCTTGATGATAAGTGTCACTACCAGATGTGTGACGCTCATTTATATACTATATATATAATATACTTGATTAACTGATGATAATTGATATGGATAAACCATGGAAAAAGTTGATTTTCAACCTTAAAAATTCGTTAATGCAATAAAATTAAAATTTTCTCTTTTCTTTTCATTTATAAACGGTCTCACCTTAAACCCCTCCAAATACCAAGCAGTCAATTTCACCTTTAGGCATAAATATGACCTAAACAAACTGGTGGTTAGCACTCATGAGGTGTGCAACATTGATGGCACTGAAATAGACAGAGACCAAGTCGGAAGTTAAATATCTTTCCTGGTGGTTTCATATCTTGATAATTTCTAAGGAAATATTCCATCTCACCTTCTACATCAAGAAGTTAAGATATTCTGGAATAACCCAACTCAACCCTTACTCTTACGATTCATTAACTCCTGAATCGTACCTATTATTCTCTATTGTCCCCCCTTAGTTTTTCCAGGGTTACTGAAGAAAGACTACACCTTATTAAGCAAAATGTTAAAGGTTGTCAGAAGGGTAAGCAATGTGCCGCTTAACTAGCTTGTTAATATTCTGGTCAACAGGCACTTGGACTCATGGGAAAAATGGGCTAAATCCATTCTATCTATCTAACACACCACCACCATCTTCATTCACAACTCTCCCCATGTATCTCATCAGGCAGACAGACCAGAAGCCTATTTAGGAAACTATATGCCCGCACTAGTAAGTACAAAAACTCAACTGTACCCTACTTAGCTCGTGTACTGTGCGATAAAGAAAGCATTAGGCGTGAAACCTATAACTTAATAAATAGTCAGTAGAACAACTGGATCGCGTCTTTCCAACTCATATCATTTATAGGTACAACGTTTTCTTTCTTTCTATTTTTTTTCTGTTATGTGCTGTTTTGTTTCTCTCTTCCTTAAAAACTCTACTTAAAACACTCTTCTTCGTTCTTTCACAATCTGTTTATCTCGACCTTTTTGTTACCGCTTACGCCAGTAAATATGCTAGCATCTCTACTTTTCTAACACCTTCAAACATTCTGTTCAATTTTGGCTTTGCTACCGGCGTGCTAATATGTTGTTGTCATAATCAACTGAGATTTCTTTAATCTATGTAGAATTTTCTTTATTGATAATGTACTAACTGGATGCAATACTGTGTGTAGTAAAATGCTGAGAATTTCATTCTGTATTCGCAAATACTGTTTTGGAATAAAGAGTATTATTATTTAAAAAAACTTAATTAATTATTAAAATCGTTTCACCCTAGCCTGGGAGTTATTGGCAGTACGCACGCATCGATAAGGTTGGAACCCAGAACCTTCCAGTTACAAGGCTGGAGAGCTCATAGACCATTCAGACAATGGGATCCGACTGCTCAATGGCCAACCCATGAATTCTAACTTCTACCAATTAATTTTATCGACGGGAACTCCATCCTCACTCCGGACTAGATGGACCTTACTGGTCATGACTTGTCACTAGAACTCCAAGAAACTCCGTCCTGTGGCAAGTTATGGTCTATGAGCTTGCGTTGTAACCGGAAGGTCCTGGGTTCGAACTCCCCCACCCCCCTGTGATGGATGTGTACTGTCGATAAGTCACAAACTAGGCTGACAAACACGGCTATCCAGTGCTCCTTGCTGGTTCTCAATGGCTCTCTAAATGAGATATCAATCCGTGGGCAAACCCCAAAAAACAAATCAAATCCTTACAAATCAACTTTTGAAAATTACTAAAATTAATATTATTTTTTGAAGATTTAGAGTTTTATTCTATTGCGATCGACGCCGAACATCCGACTTCAAGCTTTGAATTTTGAAGTTTCTTTTCTTTTATATCATGGGTTTGACAACCTCAAATTCAAACTTTAGGTGTGCATCAACCGGGAATCGAAAGACTTCGTTTCTTTCAAGTAATGATTTTAAATTGACATCATTTAGAGATTCATTAAAGACCATTAGAGAGTACTGGACAGCTGTTTCGTCCTAGTTTGGAACCCCTCAGAAGTACCCTACCTATAGGAGACGAAAAAGGGACCTTTAGTTGACAAGTTGAGCTTGTATGTCATTCAGTCAATGGCTGGGGCAGATGAATTAATTCTTTGTTACCTCTCATATTTCTCTCATTTTTCTCACTGAGGTAGGCTGGATAATGCAACAAACAGACAGTGGGCTGGGTAACAAGGAGGCAGGCATAATATAAAGACCCATACAAAAACACTTGGGGGATATGGACTTCGACGATGATATGTGTACATCCGATTTCCCACAAACTGGAAGATATGCAAATGAAAAAGCAACAAGTTCACGGAAGAAGAAGCATCAACGATAAGACTTCAGGTGAACATTAGAGAAGACAGAGGTAGGTGATGAAGATTCCTGGCCAACACCACCATCGACAACAACAACAACAACAGAAAACAATCAGAATAAGTGGGAGGAATCTGAAAGAAACAACCTCCTTCACCTACCTACCTACCTATCTAACTGGGAATAATCGTTTCAACTACAGGCGGACGGAACTGACGAGGATATCGAAGCAAGAATCGGAAAAGCAAGACAAGCTTTTATTACTCTCAAGTCTGTTTGGAGTTCAAAAGCACTCAGCATGAGAATTTAGATCCTGATTTTCAACTCCAATGTGAGGTCAGTGCTACTTGATATACGAGTCAGAGACTTTGCGCCACGTCACGAAGGCCACTTCAAACAAACTATAAACCTTCATCAACAACTGTCTTCCCTCAATACTATTCAAGATCAGATGGCCTGAAAAGATCATCAAAAGGGAGGGATCTCTGGCAATGAACGAACCAACCCAGCAAGAAAATAAAAAATATGCAAGAAGAAAAGGAGGTAGGTGGATTGGCCATACTCTGAGTAACCAAACCATCAAGTGACATCAAATGCCAGACCATTGCTCGAGTGCAATTCGAATGGTGTGCACACAAGGAGTGTTGCAATTGTGTGCAATGTTTTATTATTGAAATAAGGCAGTAAGACAATATACATTCACTGCACAACTTACTTGTATAATACATATATAACGTCGTTTCCATTTTTTAAATGTTGTTCTCCCTTGTATCCAACAATAATTACCATATTTACAATTAGTTGGACGTTGCATACACAAGGAAATTTGTAATTCCAATGGATCATGACAGTGTTTTGTTGTCTGGAGTTTATACCAGAGAGGATTTCGTGGACTTGACCAAGTTATATTGATAGTTACCTATTTGTTGGGATTTAATCCACAGAAAAGAAATTTATGCATTAAAATAGGATTAAACATTATATGAATGATAGACTGAGATATATCTGAACTTAATATGTATTTCAACATATTAAATATTCTCATAGTAAAATTTGGACGAACACATTTAAGCGAACAATATTGTTGTTTTCAATTAGCTCTCGTCACGGGCTTAACTCTAATATCACTACATAAGTTTACAAATAAAAATTCAAATATATTAACCAATCATGGTGTTTTGTCTTTAGGGTAAAAAGATGGTGAATATAAATGGTGCAATTAGTCAATAATAAGGATGAAAAAGTTAGGCAGTCTGTGATAACACGAATAACGAAAAAGACAGCATGATTAAACAAACAATTGTTCAGGTGGAAGTAGTCGATAAAGGCTAGTAAAAACAAATGAACCGATTATGTAATGTTAGATTGCAAGGGAAGGAAATGAAACACGTTTATAATGAAGATAAGATTTAGGGATGATAAGAAAGGGGTTGGAAATATAAATAAGGGGTGGTGAAAAAGTCAATAGTTGGTTATGTCTTAATAGGCCGATAAGGGAGGGATAATGGCTGTACGAAATTCTTTTGAATGCATAGTTTAGGTTTAATAATTCGAATGCCTATCGCCTCATCTGTGTGCAGTAGACGAATACCATGTCTATTGGAAAGATTCGGTGGGATAGGATGAAGTACTCTGAAGGCTCTCGTTTTCTCCGCTACATGACCACTATCAATTAAATGTGACATGATGGATCCACGGATTGTTTTTCTCTGTCCTTTGGCAAACCATCACGATGGGAGATGTTCATTAACACGTTGGCTAACCCAATATAACTGTCACTGCAGGTACAGTTGAATTGATGAATACACATAGATGTGGCGAAACTATCAAGCTTATCCTTCGTTTGCGTTCCAATCACTCGTCGACTAGAGAATGACACACATAGGTGTGCTGCGTAAAATGTTCTACGTAAACTCCTTGAAAGTCTTTGGAATAGAATCTCACTTGATAAGTCACCATTAAATTGTAGCTTAACAAATAGAGGTTTCTTATGCGCAGTCAGAGTCACAGGTTTCTTCTCTGATGGTTTCATATGTTTCTTTATGAAACCACTCGGATAGCCCATCTCCGTCAAGGAATTGTGAATATATTCAAATTCCTTTTGTAAGAGGTCATCCGTACATATCTTTCTTGCTCTGCTCACGAGACATTTTACAGCATTCCTTTTATATTTAATGGGCACGTAACTAAGGAAGTGTGTATTGCCCTGCGATTGTGCTTCTTCTGTACACACTTCTCCCAAGTGACCCATCTCCTCTCCCACTTAGCAAGACATTCAGAAAGTGCAGTTTATTCTCCTGCTCCTCTTCACAGGTAAAGGTAAGCGAAGAGTGGATGTTGTTGAATTTAAGTAACAATTCGTGTATGTTAACATTCTCATCAGCTAAGATAAATGTATCATCGACATATCGGTAATACGTATAAAACTCCTTGATGGTATCCTTCAATTTCCCGTTCTCAAGTTTTTCGAGAAAGAAGTCAGCTAATATTGGGCCTAATGGTGAACCACCCACCCATAGCTATTCCATCTACTTGTCGATAGTAAGAATTATTGAAGACAAAGTGAACATTCATTGTGCATTTGAGAAGTAATTCTTTGAGGCTACACAAGGGAATTCCTAAGTCCAATTGCCTATCGGTGATTTCTTGACAAATATAATCACCTGTTTCCATAAGCGGTACGTTAGTGAATAGTGATGATACATCCATGGATAACATGCGTTTATATCTCACATTAGTCTCGAATATTTTAGAAATAAAGTTAAAGACATCACTAAATCGATGTTGCACGATTTCTCTGTGCAAAGGACCCAGAATCTTAACTAACTACTTCGCTGTTCCGTGAAATGGAGAGTTATACATATCTAAAACAGGGCGGAGAGGTAGACCCGGTTTTTACACTTTGGATAAACCGTAATGACGTGAAGTATTGGTACCCGTTGGTTTTATGGACTCATACGTGGTTGATGATAATACTCCTAATTGGTTTAGTTTTTTGAGGGAGTCGGTCATTAGTTTCTTAGCTCTTACTTTGAGGTCTTTGGAAACACCAAGCGATTGGAATTTAGTTTGATCACTAAAAACACCTTCCATTTTCTTAACATAATCGCTTTTGTCCAGTAAAACTATACCATCACCTATATCTGGCTTGCTGATAATTAAACTTTCGTTACTTCTAAGTTCTCTTAGAGCTTCTTTGTGTTGTTTAGATAAAAGATTATTTACTGAATGTTTATTATTCTTGTATTCCTGGCAGCTGTCCACTAGCGTCGTTTTGAACCTAGTTAGTCCAACGATGGGGGTAAGATCTGACGTTTGAGAATACAAATTTTCAAACTGTATATCAGTGTCTAATTGATCAACTTTACGGGCATAATCATGATATGTATTAACAAGATAATCGCTTAGAGGCCAAGTCAATCACCACAAAAACAACAGCAATACTACAAGTACGTGAAGACAAGTAGGCGGAAAGATGTACTGTTAATTAGAGGCGATAAAAGTACTTCTGTGTAATAACGGTTTTTCTTCTCCTCCTCCTTCTCTCTTGTATCTACTTGTCTGTGGTGATATTTGTTATGTACTCGTCGCTAAATTATTGTTATGGACTGGTCGAGAATTTAATAGTCCTGACGCAAGGAAGACGGAAATCAGAAGACCACTAGGTTTGCGATGATACTTCTATTTTCCAAACACAAGGAGAAGCAAAAGTGGTATCACACCAAAGTAGGTAAATGTAAGTCAATCACACAAATTGTGAGAGCGAAATATATATGAATGTACAGACAAAGCGTGTGAACAATCATTAGACAGTCTTAACATGAATGGCTAATTATAATGAAGTGTCGTTCCATTTATACATAGCAAAATATAGCAGACATGTCAACAACCACCATATATGGATATATGTCACCAAGCAACGGACTGTCAACAAACACTCATATTATATTATATATAATATAAGGAGAATATACATTGTTAAGGGAGACAGGTTCATACAAGTGAAATGGTCACAGACTAAGAGAGCAAACAGAAAGAGAGACCAACATACACACACACACACACATAAATATATATATGTGGATACATATCAGTATTATTGATATTTGAAGTTTTTTTTTATTTTTAATATATTTTCTGTATGTTGAAGTTTCTCTAGCAATTTGAAAGACTTAGTGATGTGGGTGTGCTAGCCCCACGCCTAACTCTCCCTCTCTACCTGGGCATGGTACCGGGTTTTACAAGCGAAAACCAACACAAACTGGCAGAAGAGACAGCGAAAACAGGACTCCAAGTGGACACAGAGAAGATGGAGATGATGAAGATAACCAACGAACAACGGCAACAACAACAACGACAACCAGCACTAATTCACATCAACGGGAGAGATTTAAGAGATGTTGCCTCCTTCACTTATCTCGGAACCATCGTCCCAACTGCAAAAAGAACGGACGAAGAAAGTCAGAATCGGAAAGGCAAGATACACCTTCATCAACCGGAAACCAGTTCAGAAATCTTCCACACTCAGCATAAAAAACAAGATTCGCATTTTCAACACCAATATCAAGTCGGCCACTGCTTTTCTACGGGTTAGAAATTCGGCCAACGTGTGTCACGAAAAGGATTTCCAACAGGCTACTGACTGCAGACTTACATCAGCAGCTGCTTTCACTGGCTCCATACTGAAGATCAAGTGGCTAGAAAGAATAAGCAACAAGAAGCTATGGGAATAAACCAACAAGGAATAGCCAATCAGTCAACATATATGTAGGAGAAAGTGGAAATGGATCGGGCATACATTGAGGAGCCCACCGAACGACATTGCTCGAATGGAATCCAAATAGGAAGCGACGAGTGAGTCGTCAATGCGCGGGTGATATGGAGGAGATTGTTTGAGCAGAAGGAGATGAGAGGGTTTGGTCAATCGTGAACCTCTCAGCTGAAGAGGACAGCAGAAAACAGAACAAAGTGGAGATGTGTTGTTGAAACCAGCCCTATGTTCCACTCAGAACGCAAAGGAATAATAATAATAATGAAATAATTATTCATATAATGCTAGTTGACTGTGCGATTAACAGTTACCCTGTTGTTGTTTTTTGGTGCATTAAGTTCCCACTAGCTCACAATTTATTATTTTAATTATTTTATTTTATTCCTCCTTTCTGCTCTGAGTAGAACTCAGGGCTGTAGGCTTTGAGTTTTTAAGTTTCTGTAACAGACTCCTACTACGTTTTTACGAGATGGATTTGTTAGCCTCATGCTCAACCGCCTTCCTTCTTTACTGAATTAACTACTGGCAAAGCAAGGTTTCGAAGCGTCTAGTTGGCTGGGATTTAAAACCCGAACCATGTGTGTGCTCACAGTTTACTTGATCGTATGATAGGTTATATTGAATTTGGCAACTCTTTCAGAGTTAAACCTTGTCGGCTTAAAAAGCCAAAAGATCTAATTACTAAATATCATGTAATGACTGTTAGTGAGGTCAGTTAGGTAGATCAAACCAGCAGATCGTGGTCAACTAGATTACTGAAACATAAAAAAAAGTTAGACACGGGATTTCATCATGAACTGACATCAGTTAGAGAACTATTGGAAAACTTACAGTGAGTACTAGACATCTGTTTCATCAGCCTAGTTTGGGACTCTTCAGCATTGCACACACACACAGCTACGGTTCGAAACCAGGACCTCCTGGTTAAAAAGCGAGCTAGCTCGTAGACCATTAAGTCACTGGGACCCGATCCACTCCCTGTGACTTATGATCTTCAATGAAACTGTTTTGTTTTTCTTTATTACTCCTTTGTCTCACACCTCTGCTCACTGTTTCTATTATGCTTTTCTTGTACTTTCTTCTCTTGCTTCGCGTGCTACACGGAATGTGGCGACTTGAACTTCCTCACATTTGTGCAAAGTTCTATGTCGAAAACAGACAGACAGACAGACTATGAACTCTAACTTCTTCTAATTCACGACCCGGCGAGTGCGTACTGCCGAAGAGCCCCAAACTAGGCTGACGAAACATCAGTCAAGTCATGATGAAATCCTGTATGCTATGCATCTTATTTTCCTCATATTCACCTGTCAAATGAACTGATAGGATTTAAAATTAAGCCATACACAATGTTAAGGAAGTATTTTTTCTATTCAATAAACTCGCCCTTTAACTTTGACCTGAGGGAATACTGAACACTGAACATTATAGCTGAATGTATTAAGCTGAATTAGAGACGAGTCGACTTCTACCTTCTGTGAAAAGATACTATTACAGTCTGTTTCCTAAGAGGAATCACGAAATCAAGGATTTCAAGTTTCATTTCAACCGTGCAACGACATAAAACATTGATAAACACACACGGTTTTTTCTTTCTTTTTTATTTTTTTTATTTTTGATTTACAGCTTGATTCCACACTGTATTTTCGGTACAAGTATGGGATTTTCAGCATGGATATCGGTAGCCCAAATTTTGCAGGCCAACCATAAATATCGGGTGTGCTTCGCCAAGGGATAGAACCTCGGACCATGTGCATGGTCGGCGAGAGTCCTAACCATTGTGCCACCGACGTAGTAGTTGTAGTAGTAGTAGTAGTAGTAGTAGTAAGAATGCCATAAACTATATACACCAAATGTTACTATTAATAATATCTGACTTACTCTTCCTAATTCTTTATCATCAAGTGTCAGGGGTCCTGAGCATTCTTTGAAAACTTTCACCTTGACAATTGGAAGTGGTTGTGATGTCTGAAACTCTGCTGTAGTATTCCACCTGAAAATATATCAGAAAAGAAGAGGTGATGATGAATAAACAACATGAAAGAAAAAGTGTTCACTTCAATTTAAAATAAAAACAGAAAAGGATTATTTACATTACGAGTTTGTTAGGACACTGGTCAACCAAGCAAGTAGTCTTGGGTTCGAGCTCCGTCCGACACACTCCTTAACCTCTCTCTCTCTGAGCCAGTAGTAAACCAAGTAAAGAGGCGGGGGTTGGGTGTGAAGCTGGCAACCCTAACCTGAGTAAAAACAAAAACACCCCTGCTACTGAAACTTCAAAGTTCAAGGGGCTTGAAGCCACCTAAGTTCCACTCAGAACTCAAGAATAAAATAAAAGCATAGTGCATTATGAGTTTTCAACAGATTCGGATTAAACTCAATACAAATGTGGTCAAGGATCAATCCGCATTATGCTTCTGTTCATCCCAAGCAAAATACTAAGCCACATCATCCTGGAGAGAATCAAACACGCCACCCTGGATGAGAAACATCGACTGAAACAGGCTGGATTCAGGAGAAAAAAGTCATGTATTGATCAAATCGCCACACTAAGGATTATAACTGAACGAAGCTTGGAAAGGCAGTCACCTCTCTATCTCAACTAAATCGACTTTGAAAAGGCCTTCAATAGCGTCGATTGAGAGGTGGTTTAGAAACTGCTTCGCTACTATTGTGTGGTGCTATCGACAGTTATACATCTCATTTAACAGTTGTACAACAATGCTGCATGCCAAGTAATCGACAACGGGAAACTCACGGAATCCTTTGAAGTGAAGACGGGAGTAAGAAATGGCTGGCTGGCTGCCTATTATCTCCACTGGTTTTCCTGACTGCGGTAGACTGGATAATGCGACAGACAGACAGCGGGTGGGGCAGCGAGGAAACAGGCATAAAATGAACCCTCACAAAAAATTTGGAGCATTTGGACTTCGCCAATGATATATGGCTGGTTGCTCACAAACTGAAAGATATGCAAGTGAAAAGCAACAAGTTGACAGAAGAAGAAGCATCAAAGATAGGACATCCTTCAGGTGAACATAGAGAAAACAGAGGTAGGTGATGAAGATTCCTGGCCAACACCAGCAGTAACAACAACAACAACAACTACAGACAACAATCAGCATGAATGGGAGGAACCTGAAAGAAACAACCTCCTTCACCGAGTTACCTGGAAAGCATAGTTTCAACTACAGATGGATTGAACTGATGAGGATCTCAAAGGTAGGATCGGGGAGGCAAGACAAGCTTTCATTATTCTCATGTCCATGTGGAGGTCAACAGCACTCAGCATGAAAAATAAGATTCGGGTTTTTAACTCCAATGTGAAGTCAGTGCTACTTGCTAAGCGGATGGGAGACTTGGCGTGTCATAAAACATACTACAAACCTTCATCAACTGCTGCCTTCGCTCAATACTGCTCAAGATCAGATGACCGGCCAGAAAAGATCAGCAACAAGGATCTCTGACAATGAACGAACCAACCCAGAAGGAACCGATTGTGAAACAAATAAGCAGGAAGAAATGGAGGTGGGTGGATTGGCCATACTCTGAGAAAACAAACCATCAAGTGACATCTTAAAACAGGCAATTGCTCCAGTGGAACCCAAATGGAAAGTGGCAAGTTGGTCGTAAGTGCGAGGGTGACATGGAGAAGGGGGTCATGTGAAGAGGAGATGAAAGCATGTCGGTAGACTTGGAGCCAGGTGAAAACTTTAACAGAGAACCGGACGCAATGGAGTCGTGTGCGGCTGAAGCCCTATGTTCCTTTGGGAATTAAAGGAAACAATAACCATACAAGAATCAATAACAATCAGTTAGAAAATCATGGGAAATCAAGAAACGTCGAATAGCTGCTTTGTTGACGTCTGGAACTCTACAGCAGTACCCACCCACTTATGATCCCTCTAGGAATTGAGCCTGGTTATCAGAATATATCGTTGGTCAACATCCTGAAGTTCTGATGATAATTTGAAACCAGCGCAAAATCAACCATGTCCTAGGTGAAGTGGATATTCCTTGTATGACATTTTGATTGTCTGTAGAGGTTGTATCACGAATCGACAGAAGTCAGAATTCATGGACTGGTCTCATAACCTGGAGGTCACGAGTTCAATTCATGCTGGTGGGTTCGTGGGTGTGTACTCCTAAAGAGCTCAAAGCTAGGACGAAACATCTGATTCCCTAACAAGGTTCACAATGAAAACGTTATATGCATACCATATAACTTCACCTTGGATAAATGTCTACATCTTTTTCTTCTCTGCTGTTCAGTTACGATTTAAAACTAAAATGAATTATACTCATAAACTGTAATTTGAAAAAAAATCATTAGAAATTGCAGGGTGAAGTAGCCATGCTCAGAATGAGCGTAAACACGGCCCGGTGTTTTGCATGCGGCAAAATGACTCACTAGAAAGACCTTTGCCTGGAAAGACGACAGAAGAAACTTTTTAAAAGGTATACTGTGTCTTCTTTCTGTTCTCCTAGACTAGAAGTAATGCTGGCGATTGAGAATGGGGCGATGTATTTGAAGTTGCGCGTAAATCACCACGAGTTGGTGTGTTTAATTGACACAAGGGCTAGCAGCCTCACTCGTAGATAAGAGTTTATTTGGTTTCTGCAGAAATTTTGTTTGATGGATTGGAAGATTTCATTATGAGCTGACATCAGTCAAAGAACCATTGGAAAACCATCAGCCAGGGAGTACTACCAGACAGCTATTTCGTCAGCCAAGGTTGGGACTCTTCGTCAGAAGTTATACTTCACGGGGTGGACATTGGATCGGGTCCCAGTGACTGCCTGATGGTTCCACAAGCTGGCTAACCTTCTAACCAGAAGGTCATGGGTTCGACCTCTAGCTGTGGGTGCGTACTGTTGAAGAGTTAAAAACCAGGCAAACGAAACAGCTGTCTGGCAGTACTCCCTGTCTAATGGTTTTCCAATGGTTCTCTAACTGATATCAGCTCATGATGAAATCCTTCAACCAATCAAAGAATAATATTTCATTGGAACACATTGTCTGTATTACACCACCACACTACTACTATTATTAGTATTATTTCCTTTAATTCCTAGAGGAACATAGGGCTTCAGTCGCACGTATCCACTGCATTCGCTTCCATGCTAAAGTTTTCACCTGACTCCAAGTCTGCCCAAGGCTTTCATCTCCTCTTCACATCACCTCCTGCTCCATGTCACTTCGCACTGACGACCAATTCGCCGCTTCCCGTTCGGGTTATATTCCAGCGACAGCCTTTCGTTTGGTGTTACCTGATGCTTTGTTTCCTCAGAGTATGGACAATTCACCCACCTCCATTTCTTCCTTTATATTCGTTGCACAATCAGTTCCTAGTTGCTTCGCTCATTGTCACAGATCCCTTTTGCTGATCTTTCCTGGCCGGACAGCTGATGTTGAGTAGTATTGAGCGAAGGCAGCTGTTGATGAAGGTCTGTAGTTTGTTCGAAGTGCTCTTCATGACGCGCTGAGTCTCTGATCCGTATAGTAAGTAGCACCGACTTCCCTATGGAGTTGAAAATCCGGGTCTTATTTTTAATGCCGAGGAGTGCTGTTGACTTCTACACAGACTTGAGAGTAATGAAGGCTTGTCTGCCTTGCTTTCCAGATCCTCGCTGCTTTTATATCCCCATCAGTTCTGTCCGCCTGTAGTTGAAACGATGCTTCCCAGGTAGGTAGGTTAGTAGGTGAAGGAGGTTGATTCTTTCAGATTTCTCACATTCATACTGATTGTTGTCTGTTGTTGTTGTTGTCCAGGGATCATCACCTCTGTCTTCTCTATGTTCACCTGAAGTCCCTCCTATCTTTGATGCTTCTTCTTCGATGAACTTGTTGCTTTTCATTTATATATCTTCCAGCTTGTAGGAAATATGACGTATATCAGCGGCAAAGTCCAGATCGTCCAATTTTTTCGTGACGGTCCATTTTATGCCTATTTCGTCACTGCCCGGCCTACTGTCTGTCGCGTTATCCAGTCTACCGCAGTCAGGAAAACCAGTGGAGATAGTAGACAGCCTTGCCTCACTCCCGTCCTCACTTCGAAGGATTCCGTGAGTTTCCCGTCGTAAATTACATGGCATACAACATTGTTGTACAACTGTTAAATGAGATGTATAATTGTTGGCGGTACCCCTTGATAGTAGCGAATTAGTTTACAAATCACCTCTCGATCGACGCTGCACTATCGAAAGCCTTTTCAAAGTCGATGAAGTTGAGTAGGGTAGACAGAGGCGACTACCATTTCCAATCTCTGTTCAATGATGATCCTACTACTACTACTACTATCTATTCGACACCTCTTATTTTCTTATTCTTTTTTCTCTCATTCACTCCTCTTATAGAGTAGATCATATCAGAGACTAAGATGAGCATATTATTCATTTCAAAGTAATATGACCTTTGAAAAGCAGAAATATTCAAACAATTTATCTTATCTCATTTTGTCTGTTATTCAAACTTTTGTTATTTATATAGATACATATTGATGCTTTTTGTTTTAATTGACATCGGAAGTTGACAGAAAGGCGATAATAAATAGATGATAATCAAATAAATATGTGAATATATCTAATGATCCTACTACTTAAGGAGTGTTAGCATTAAATAGTAGGGTTATATGAAAGAGAGAAATGAGAGAGAGAGAGAGAGAGAGGGAGAGAGATAGAAGAGTGAAGTGAAGTGAAGTGGGGATAGAGCAGAAGAGGAGAGAAGAGAAATGAATGAAAACATCATCATCATCAGCAGCAGCAACAACAACAACAACAACAGGATCAGTAGTGTAGCAGGCAGCAAGAGCAGATGGATAAAGTAGTTAGTTAATCAATAATTATTTATCTGCCAATCCTACTGTATCGCTTTCATCATTCTCCGTTTTTTTTCTCTATGAATCTTCAAACCTTTTCATTCAACTCTCTACTACTATTACTATTATTATTATTATAACCTGCTCACAATCTCTCCCCCTCACACACACACAC